GATGGATGGATACCTTTCTTCCTTCCTCCCTTCATCTTCCTCCAGTTGAGGAAACACTGAGCGACTCATTTTCTTAGATTCAGTCAGATTTTAATGCAGAAGAAGCAGTTCTTTAATGTACCTGTTGTTCCTGCTGGTCCTTGTGTGCAGGTCACCTGGTGATGGACCTGAACCACATGCTGCGACCCGCCAAGTCTCCAGAGAAGTGCACCCTGCAGCTGCTGGAGCAGCCGACCGACAAGCTGGTGTCTCTGTTTGAGCAGAAGACGGTGAAGGGCTGGTGGCCCTGCAGCTGCCAGCACAACGGAGACACCGTCCTCGCTGTGAGGACACGTTCATACGCTAACAGATAGCATGTTATCTACCGGATCAGGAACCACAGAGGTTTATAGTTCAGGAGTTCAAACTGGAGATGCATATGAACCGATGGTTAGAATATATGAACCGATATGGCAGAGGACAATAGATCTACAAAGAAATACCAGTTTTTTTATCACAATGTAGAAGTTTTTCTTGCAGGACTTTCAGTTGTGAGGGAGTATTTTTACTGCGTTGGTACTTCAGCTGGAGTAAATGATACTTGGCAGTCGTGGCTTCGTCTTCCAGAGGATGAAGCTTTACGTCAGCAGTTGTAGAGACTCGTTTAGACCTCTGATGGAGTCGAATACATCCTTTACATCATGCCGTCTGTGTTCAGGGCAAGGTGGAGATGTCTCTGGAGATCGTGACGGAGCAGGAGCAGGAGGAGCGACCGGCCGGCCTCGGCAGGGACGAGCCCAACATGAACCCTCACCTGGAGGAGCCGCAGTGAGTCTCAGAGCCACAGAAACAGCCACGGTGGTGGAAACGTGGCCTCTCACCCGGTCTTCTGTCCCCACAGGCGCCCAGAGACGTCCTTCCTCTGGTTCTCCTCCCCCTACAAGACCCTCAAGTTCATCCTGTGGAGGCGGTTCAAGTGGTTCATCATCCTCTTCCTCATCCTCTTCCTCGTCCTCCTCTTCCTCGGCGTCTTCCTCTACGCCTTCCCGGCAAGTCTGAGTCTGTGTGTGTGTGTGAGGCGCTGCAGAGTCCAGTTTGTTATCCATCAGACAGATCCGGCTCACAGGAAGGACATCGTCCACTGTTATGTCACACTTCTACCTGTTCTGTTACATTAATTCATTTACATGTTGGCAGTGAAAAAACAACCACAACAAGCAGAGACGTAAAGAAAACATTAACACAACGTTTGAAAGTAAATCAGTAAAAGAAGTTTTGTTTTGCAGTCTGAGGCTCCAGTAAAGACAGAGCAGTTACTGTGGATGGAGAATGAGGCTGAGCTGGTCTCATGTGAAAGGATTTAATAAGTCATAAGGAAACTACAGTGAATAAGAAATGAGCTTCTGCATCCTTCTCACGTGTTCCTGCAGAACTACGCTGCCATGAAGATGGTGGGCCCGTTCGGACCGGCCAAGGCGGCGCAGTGAGGACGGAGACGGAGCGACGGGACAGACAGCAGAACCAACGGACGCAGTAGGAACATCTCCTGTCACGTCTTCTCCGTCGTCCCCTGAAGCCGTGAACTCGATGCGATCGCTCTGTCCGGAGCCCGTTTGTGCCTTTGCCCTCAGATTCACCAGAAACTTCCAAAGCTCCCATCTCAGCATGTTCCGTCACCGCTTTCATCTGCCCCGGTTCTCCTGTCGGCCTTCACGCAGAGAACAAGGAGAATAACTTCTCAGACCAGCCCAATCAAAGGTTGTGACGATGATGCTTCTTGATCTTTGTACCGCCTGCTGCTTCCCAGCGAGGAGCCGAGTCGGGTCAGAACACGGAGCCTGATTCAAAACGTCAAACTTTATCGCTCTGAAGATCACATCTGAGGTCCAAGGAAGCTGGTTTTCAGCAGTTCCTCTCTTTGAATGATGGTTTCTACACTCATACGCTGCCTTAAATCAGGTTTATTAATCCTCAGATTCAGTATATCAGATGTAAACATCTGGAGAGGAAGGATTCAGTCCAGTCAGGTCCTGACAGCATGTCTGCTTCCTTCATCCACCTCCTCACTCTTCGTTTGCTTCCACTGAGGCGGCCCATGAAAATCAGAAACATGTTTTTGTCTTATAATCATGCATTAATTAGGCAGAGGAATGCTTTAATTAATGTTTAGAGTGTCTCCACCTTGTTCCTCTTCTCTCCTTCTCTTCTTGGTCTTTCTGCTCTCTTTGCCTTCCCTCCTCCCTCCTTCCTTCCTTCTTCCCTTCCCTCGCTCCTTCTTTCCTTCCCTCCTTCCTTCCCTCCTTCCTTCTTTCCTTCCCTCCTTCCCTCCCTCCTTCCTTCCTTCCTTCCCTCCCTCCCTCCCTCCTTCCTTCCTTCCTTCCCTCCCTCCCTCCCTCCCTCCTTCCTTCCTTCCTTCCTCCTTCCTCCCCCCTTCGTTCCTTCCTTCCCTCCCTCCTTCCTTCCTTCCTCCTTCCTCCCCCCTTCCTTCCTTCCTTCCTTCCTCCCTCCCTCCCTTCCTTTCCTTGTCCAGACTCTGGCTCTCCGTCCTCCTCCCTCCGTGCAGCTCTCGGGGTTCAGCAGGTTAATTCGGGGATTTGCTGCTGTTGATCTGGAGCTGGATCTTTATTAGCACAGCGCGTGTTGTAGAAGATGACGGAGGCAGATACAGACTCAGAGGCTGTAATCGGGTCTCTGCTGCTCCGCTGAGCAAAACCAAACGTATTTATGATGAAGACGAACCCAGAACATCAGAACACGTTCAAATCTCCGTCTTTTATTTATTTTTTCGTCTCACATCTAAAGATTTGAGATTTTTTTCTTTTGCTCTTACTCCGTTTGTTTTGGTTCAGACCAGAGAGGAAAAGTTGACTTGGTCCCGTTTGGTTGGTTTTGGGTTCACCACGACCGGTTACGGGCCGAGCGGGCCTCGTAAACAAGCGTCACGTGGCTCACTAGCAGCTCGTTTAATGGACAGAGGTTTGGTAGGCCGTGGTCCTGCCAGCTCAGAGAGGCTTCGGCTCCCGCTGGCGTCGGCGTACGTCACCGAGACCGCCGTCACCGAGTCCGCCGTCACCGAGACCGCCGTCACCCAGACGCTGAGTGTGAACTCCAGGATGACTTTCAAACCTGAGATACCAACTGTAGTCGTCTTCTGCCTGTACGGTGTCGTGTTTTTATCAGATTGTTGCTCAGAGGAGAGCACAGATGGAAGACCGAATGCTTCTACAGACCAGGAACACAAACATGGGGGACCAGAGTCCCATCAAGGTCCATCTGAATCATTTCATATTTATCATCTGCTCATACCAGGTCCCAGTCTGAGACCACTACTGTAGATAACACAACTGACCACTGAACAGCTCTGCAAACTCAGCTCCTCTGCCTTCAGTCTGTTGCTTGATGCTCTGCAGGTGGAACCTTGTTGTGAAGCTTCAGTAGAACCCTGTGCTGGAGGGTAGGATGTACCGTAGACAGCCTGGTCTCTAATATAAAACTTAATGCAGAAGGGTCTGACTGGCCTCGTCATCATTCTGCTGAAGGGAAAAAACCCCCGTGGCTTGTTTTTACGTCCTTCAACCCCGGGTGTGTCTGGTGGAGCTAGACGACCACTGTGGACGGTTTACTGCATGATCCAGATCCTTAGAAAAACTCTACATCCGCTGAGTCAGACGAGATGTTCTGAGGCTCCACCAGATGGAGAAAGTCTTTGTTCTATACAGGATGTCAGTAAACGTACCGTAGACCAGCTGCAGTACCTGGTTGTTCCACCAGGGGGAGCCTCTCACTGTTTAATCCTGTAGAGACCAGAGGAGGCGTCACTGAGGCCTTGTCCACACTGGGCTCAGATGGAGTTACCAGTTAACCAGCTGATGACTGCTGATAATGAAACTCCTCTAAACTGCTTTATACCAAACCTGTGTCCCAGTCAGTTAAAACCTGCTTTGATCTACGTCCCTCGTAGTCACGTCGGCTCTCAGAACAGATTTCTGTCCCTAACATGGCTGTAAAGTTCTACAACGTGTTCCTGAAGCAACTCAGAAAACAGCCCAGATGTTGTGTTTAGTTTTCAGGCGCATGTTTGTCAAAGAGGAGCGACGAGCTGCAGCTTTCAGGTCTGAACCGAACCGTGGACCTGCTGCTGAGACCAGCACCAGAGCTGCTGTTAGACGCTGTATCGCTGTATCACTGGTGTTGTTTAGTGTTGTGAGTACTGAAGTGTTAGAAGAAGGGCTCCGGGGTTCTTCAGGTGTGTCATCGTACAGACCAACAGGTGAACGTTGCTCTGCAGCTCCACTCGTGTAAATAAAAGCAGACATCAGGATGAACAGCATCAGTAGCTTTGCAGGTTCAGGAGTGGACGGGTTCACTTGGCTGTAGATGTTTAGAACGTTTGCCTGAACAGAGAGGATTTACTTTTTTATTTAGATTCCTGGAATATCTTTATATACGAGTATATATGTGTGTGTGTGTGTGTGTGTGTTTGAAAGAGCTTTAATCTGCTGCTGACGTATAAAAGACTCAGAAGGAGACAATCCTTCAGAAGCCTTCGTTTGGCCTCGGCACTGTTTCTGCCTGACGTGAACGCATCGTGCCTTCAGCCTACAGCGCCGCTAACTCCTGCCTCAGCACCGACTAACCAAACGGTTTGTGTTCTCCGTCTGTTCCCGGAACGTTAGCGTCACATCCAGCTTCACTCTGAACATTTGCTGCACGAAGCTTCAACATGTCGGATCCCAATTTGACTTCTTGTTTTATATTTTGTTATTTGGGACCCAGAACTGAGTTCTGTAACGACGTCGGCTGGATTTCATTTGAAGGACTTTTTGCATTTTCACCCTCTGGATGGAAAAATCTGCACTTTTTCTTATTTTCAAGGTCGAAGTATTAAAACTTGTGCTGTTCTGGATCCGTTCAGTCCCTCTGATCTGATGAAACTATTCTGTCAGCACACATCTCATGGCTGTAGGAGTTTGACTTCTGGAGATACTGAACCACTAAAGTAGCTTCACTGTTTGTTTTCAGGGTGAAAATACAAAAAGTCTCAGCATCCAGCCGACACATGAAGAGAAGCTAGTGACCTCCTGATGCCATAAACCTGCTCTGAGCTGTAACGTGAACAAATCTCTGCTGTTCCTGTCAAACACACCACCGATGAATGTTTAGCAGGAGACAGAACGTTTCCTCAACGTGTCTGACTTCACGCCTGTGCACTGCTTTCTGTCAGTATTACCAATAAAGCTGCAGTTCTGATCCGTGGTTCTGTTTACGTGTGTGTGTGTTTTAGAAGAACACAACGGACTTCTGTCTCTAAACATTAAACCTGTTCCTGTGAGCTAGAGGTCAGTCAGCCTCCATTAATCTGCTTAGAAACCACAGGAACCATCAGCCAGCAATCCAGCAGGTCAGTAGGAACGTTTTGTCAACATTCACTTGTTGCACTGTTTTGTTGTTGTTGTTGTTGTTGTTGTTGTTGTTGTTTTTCTGGATAACTTTCAGGACCAGAAGAGGAAAGTCTTCAGAGCAAGAAACAGGTAAAAACGGTTTATTGAATTGTTGTCTCGATCAGCAGGAGAGAAACACAAACGGATCTGGTGTCAGGTTCTAGCAGAACCCAGATGTGTTCTTCCTCCTAAATGTCATGTGTCTATCTGCTGTACTGATGAAGTTCTGAGGCTCAGAAATGATGGAAAAAGTCCATTAAAGTGATCAATCTGGACCCTCCTCTGTGGACTTGAAGGCCCTGGACCTCGCTTGCTTTATTAAATATATTAAAGGTGCTGCAGATACAGAACCAGGTGTTCTGAGGAGGTTCTGGAGGGAAGAGCTGATGAAATGATTCAGATAAAACACACTCAGATGAATAAATAGATTTCATATAAATCTATTAAGTGTTCTTTTTTGACTTTTAACCCTCCAAACGTCCTGATTCTTGACGTTAAAGCTCTTTAAATAAGCATCTTTACTATAATTAGGAGAAGCTGAACTACACCTGTGGTCTCCTGTGTTGGTTTTTCTCGGTGAACCCGATACGCTCGGTTTAAAACTTTAGCCGTGGTATCGTGTGCTTTATAATCCATGTTGCGTTGTTTTTCCTGCATCAGACGGAGCAGACGTATGTTCAGTTGATTAAAATGCTCAGACGCAGTTTGAGGGAAGCAGCTCTTTAACCGGCAGAACCGGTGGTTTTCATGTCAGGAGGCTGGACTGGGTTCAGCTGCAGGACTTCATGTGAAGGTGAATTCTCATCAGGGTCACTCAGGAGCGTTTTCCTTGGCGGTGCCTTCACTCGTTTTGGTTAAACTGCATTTGAAGCCCTGGTGGTGTTGGATGGGCTTTGTTTGGGACTTTCTTGTGTGTGTTTTCCCTTTAATCAGGCCCGTGAGGCGTTCAGGTGCCCCGTGAACACGTCTGCTGAGTGCTGAGTTCACTGACCTCTGAGCGAACCTGCAGCGTCGGCACAAGTCGCACCGAAACCTCCGCAGCTGTAAATCCTGACTTTGCTTCTCGTCTTTTTCCGCCTCGTGCTCGGCGTTGGCGGATCCTCGGGAGTGTTGTTGTGGTCGCCGCTGAACTGCAGGTGAACCTCTGACCACACGGCCAGACGCTGCGTGGGTGGCCTTCAGCTCCACCTTCGTCCTCCTCCTCCTCCTCCTCCTCATCGCTGCTCCGGCCGTGGAAACCCCTGCTGTGGTTTCTGGCTGCGTCACGCTGAGCTGTGATGATTTCATTCTGCTGAAGCAACTCTCAGGTCGATTGTCTTGAAAGTGACTCGTTCCTGTGATGCTTTGTTCCCTTGTGTCCTTCATCAGACGCTGGTTCCTCAAGTCAGAGCAGCTGCTAATTAAGAGTTTCCCTGTTTAAAAAAAAAAAAATACAGATAACATCCAGAAAATCACAGAAAAAACGTATTAATTACACTAGTTTACAGTATTTATATCACTACTTACACATGTGGGGCACTGCTTGGGACTGAGAATAGTGAATATTATTCTACAGATCCTCTTTGTTCTGTTAAATTGTAATAATCGGTTATCAATAGTATTAATCTACATTATTATTTATGATGTGTTTTAATCCTCAGAAATAGAATTATTTTACAGATGTTGACCGTTTTTTTTGCAAGAAAAATTCTATAAAATAAACACTGAGAAATGTTATTTTACTGGTTTTCTATCTGTGAAAATCTGAGAAAAAGAGAAAAAACTTTACATGTTAACTGTAAAACATGAGCAGTCATTTGTTCTTCTGTA